ATGCTGATGGTGTTACAACTGTCAATGGCTGAAGTCAATAAACAGGTCAGCATTCTTTCAGAACATTCTTGGTACTGTGCCAAAAATCTCAAGTTTCTCAGACAGGGTCTTCCGTGAAGCTATTTTATTCGCAGTTGCAGTGGTGCGTGTCCTTCAAGCAGGAGCTCACGGTAAAAGTTTATCATAACCTTATATTCCCTATTACTCGACACCTGATTTCTCCCGTTCCCTCATTGGCTGAGTGCTACAGGTTCACACACTGTTCCATGCACTTCCACACCATCTATGTACAATTTTATTTGAGCAACTGTTAATTTCTCCTTTTCCTTTTTCCTTCTTTTGTGACTAGAGGGCCTGTGATTTTTGTTTTTACGGATTTTGTACTGCTCATCCTGGTTTTCTTAGCTATCTTCATTATTTTGGGACAGCGGGACCTTCCCTTTATCTGCTTAACATACTCCCCACAGCTGTGTTACTGTCATGCCTGCACAATCACTTCTGAATATTCAAGGTTAGTGGATTTTCCACTGCAAAAACAACTTGCATGCAAAAACACAACTTTGTTTCTCACAGTATTTAGTGCATCTTAAACCGGGTTCACATACTGGACTTTTTGTTTGGGCACCTATTTGAAACAAGCATTTTGGTCAATTCAGTGTTTCATCTGAATGTTTGATGCCATGAGATGCTCTAGAAGTAATGATTAAGCACTTTGTCACATTAGGGCTTAGAAAAAGAACACCAAGACAGATGAGAGGATAGAAGTGTTTTAAGTATTTATGTGAGTCTTCAGCTTTAAATACTAGTGTGTTTTGTTTGCTTGTGCAACTTCAGTTTATTTCTACCGAGGGTTTCTCATTCTCTGTAGAGCAGAGTGAGGTAAGTAGCATTTGGGATGTTCTTATCCCATCAAGGCAATTCATTTGGTCCACTGCTCAGCTCAAGGTTCTCCTTTTATCTTTTTGCTAAGGGCTCTGGAAATGCTTTGGAATGATATGAGAAGAATGAGAAAAGCTAAAAGGAGAAAAGCTAAAATGTGTAATTATTAATAGTTTCTGAGATATGGTTTTGTAAGTATGGTGTTACGGTAAAAGTCAGTCAAAGAAACTCTCTAAGAATCAATTTGGAGTTTTAGAAACCAGGCATTCTTTAACTGCGGCGCCAGATGCACAGGGAATCACTCCACCCAGTGTGCATGCTGAATTTTCAAGCTACGAGGGTTATATACAGTAAAAACATGCACATTCATCAGATTTTTAAGAAATAGTTAACATATCCATGCTCTTTCCCACAACTAATTAAAATATGAAAATGTCTCTGACACATGCACATTTGTTTCCACAGGTGGTGTTTTGGGGGTCTCTGGTGGTCATCGGTAGCCTTCCCCACTGTGTTCTGACACACGGAAAAGAAACTTTACAACTCAAGGAGAGTTATAAAGCAGGTATGTTTATTGCAGCACTGGGTGCAAGGGGGATCTTTCCACCTAGCTTGTGCACCAAGGGTTACTACCAGGGTGCTTATTTGATAGCATATATACATATTCATTTCAGTTCCCCTCCCTCCACCCGTAAGTCTCTTGCATATTCATTAGGTATCCCAAAGAATCATTAACATAGGTTCCCGCCCCTCTTTGCATGTGCGCTGGAGTCCTCGGGTGGTCGTCCAGAGTGCTCTGTTGGTCTTTTGATGAAGGCCAGAAGTCTTCCTCGCTGCTAAACTTTAGTTACCAGGGCAGCTGGTAAATCGCGGAGAGCCGTCTGGCATGCAGCATAGTCCCTGTAAGGGAGGAGCGTACCCCACAGGCTTTGAGACAAAGTATTGTTGTGAAGTGAGTCACTCCACGAGGAACACGGCCAGAGATGATACAGATAAGTCTGATTATTATTTTAAGTGATATATTCTTGTGGTATGTATGAGAAGTGCAAGGGGCCTCTTTGCGTGATTGTGTGATTGTGCTGTGGGAGTGAGACGCAGCATCGGTGCTAAGCAACATCCCTAGCGCTTAGTGGCTTGTTGATTGATGTAGATTCTATTAGGCACGCCACTTTGCAATCGTAATTCTGCTTGTGATTTTCACTCTGTTGCTTATTGTACCTTTCTGATTGCAGTGTCTGCGGTGCTTGATAGAAAAATCTGTAAAAAGCGTTTGGTTGGCTGAAAATAAAAAAGGGGGAATTGTGGGGAAGGAGTTCGCAGGTGGCTTTGCGCTGTTTCACACGTCCCTGAACTAGAGGTTATGATGAAGTAAGCAGTAGAAACAAAAACTTGAGCAAGGTTGTCGTGCACTGGAAGGGAAGTAGTCACTGCACCAAGCCTGTCAGAGTTGAAGAAGCGTTTGGGCTACGCAATTAGTTACACGGTCTGAATTCTTGGGTTGACCTGTGTGGTGCCGGGAGTTGGGCTCCGTGATCCTTGTACCCAGCTAGTATCGTCCAAGTTTGTTATATTTATATATAGAACCTTGCAAATTTCTTTATTTCCGTGGAAGGTTCCTGGATACCCTATACCATGCCCTCGCCACCCGTAAAGCGGATCTGCTTGTCGGTTACAACCTTGCGGCCCATATCCCACTTGTAAAAATGTATCCCGACCAGCCCCGAGTGTCCAGTCCGTAGCAGTGGTTTCACACCCCTGGTAGGCACAGTCCCGAGCCTGCCCCCTCCTGACCCTCACCCCTCATCACTCGCAATGGAGACGAGACCCCCAAGCTGCCTCAGGGTGGCCTGGGAAGAGAGTGAGAGCTCCCAGGAGAGCAGCTCTGTATTGGAGCCCTTCCAGGTAGAGCCGCTGCAGCCTGGTGAGTGAGGGTCTGCGCTGGGGTGGGCAGGGCTGGGGCCAGCTGCGCCCCCTGCTTGAAGCCAGTGCCCCCTTCCCTTGCTTCATCCTGAAGCCCCTCTACAGTAATCCTTGCTCTCCTTCTGTCTTAGATGCTAGCTGGCTACCTGTGTACGAAGAGGAAGAGGAAGCTGTGGACTTCATCAAGGACTACATCAAAAACAAAGAAAGAGTAAGAGCAGCCCTTTCCATGGCGGCTGTGCCTGCATGTCCTGGCCGTGCCCCGGCTCTGCTGCCAGGCTGCTGGAGGGCTGCTGGCTGGGCAGAGCTGCTGCCCTCCAGGCGTCCCACACAGCTCCGCACCCCACAGTGCTGCGGTCCTGCTGGCTGTGGCTCCCCCCTCACGCTCCCTCTTGGTATCTCTGTGGCTGCCAGGATGACGTGCAGAAAATGAAGCTCCTGAGGAACATCGTCACTGTGTTCACAACCGCACAAGAGAAGGGCTTATTAGAGGGCCTGGACACCTTCTGCCGTGAAAATAAGCTGACAGCGAACATCCAGGTGAGGGGACGTCTGGCGGGCTGGGGAAGGTGGCGAGGCTCCCTGGGCATTGGGCAGGGGTGTTTGGGAGCAAACATACATGGACACCCAGCTACCCCGAGTGGGATCTCGGGTGCTGCTGGGATCTCAGCACTGCAAGGTGCAGGGGGGCACTTTTGGCTGGGGATACCGGGACTCTGCCAACCCTGCCAACAGTGCTGGCTCTGCTGGCGCTGTGTGCCTGTGGCTGCCAGGTTCCATCTAATTTGTGCTCTCCAGGTGCTGTTGGAAGAGAAGCCTATTGATTACCCGTGCACAGACTTGTGGGAGGAAGCCTTACTTGCTACTTCTGCCTTGAGGTATGTGCCCAACCCCATCCGTGGCTTGGCTAGCACAACCCCAGGGCATGAGCCAGGTGACCCTGACCCTGGCAAGCACACATCCTCCATCCGGGCAGGCCTTTGCTTTTCCATGCTCAGGACTTGTCCAGAGGGAAGAGGGAGCCTTGCAGCTTCCTGACTCATCTCAGCCTTTGCCCCAAAGCAGGAGGTGTCAGGACTGTCCTCTGGCCCAGGCCAGCCTTGCAGAAGAGGATACATCCCCCAGCTGGGCTCCCCATCCCTCCCACAAAGTCCTGCCCATGGGAGGATGTGGCGTAATGACCACACGGACACCAAGGTTCTTTAAGGGATCAGTAACTTCTTCTTTATTGAGGGCGTAACTTCCACTCCCTTGACATTGAGGACAGGCTCCCTTTTTATACCATTTGCTCTACAGAAGTATTTTCTACTAATTATTCATTGATCAACAACTTGGCCCAGCAACAGCAAACACCAAGCAACTTCCATGTCTTAATGGCTGGAGAACAGGCAGTCTGAGCCAGCAAGGCGTCTCCTGAATGACCCTTCTTTGTTCCTTCTGAACTCTTTACATTCCTCATAGCCTCATCGTTAAAAGTCCAATGTTATCACCAATCATGGGGCTTGTCAACCCCCATGGCCACGCTTCCACTGGAGGACTGTGTCCATCTCCCTTTGTTGTAGAGGCACCGTTCCCACTGACAATGTCTCTCTCTCTACAGCACAGTGGAGACTGTACTGGAGGGTGAAATGTTGTCTCTCGTAGCTGCATGCGTTAGCAGCGTCTTCTTTCTTCTGAGAACTGAGGATCTGGACCTTGGTTCACCATGACGGTATGTGCTGCTGAGCCACAAGAGCCCCCATTCCCCTGCACTGCATGGAGTTTCCTCCTGCTTAGAAACAACTGAAGATCCCTGATGAGGCAGGTCTCGGACTGCTTCCCTCCACCCCTTCCCTCTCACCCTTGCCACAACACTTTGTCCTTCTTACAGATCCTGCAAAAGATGGATGTCATGCTGAGAACATTGCTGATCAGACCTCCGGCCTCCAGCCTCGGTGATAAGTTGCAGAGCATCTTGAAGGTCTGCAGTTTGCACAGCATCAGCTTTACAGTGGCTGTTCCTCACCCTAGAGTGAGGTGACATATAGTAGTGAAGAGTGCCCCCTGTGCCATGCACACAGACCATAGGCCTGCCAGGCCTGTGCCCAGCACACTCAGGGGAGCCAGGGTCTGTCCACCAAGCTCTTCTAGGGCCCCGGTGTCCCCTGGCTGCTGTCAACATCCCTTGCCCTCCACACGTCCTTCCTGTGTCCAGCACAGCTTCCCCGCAGCACTCCTGGGCCTCCTCTGCCCGCAGAGCTCTCCTTGCACCAAAGCAGTGGTGGATTTGAGAGAATTTGAGCCCTGCCCTTGTGCACCACACTGGCAGCATCTGGAGCTGCCATCGCTCTGCTTTCCTGGTCCCCTGTGCTTTCCTTCCCAGTGTGAACAGGGCGTTGCTCCAGCTCTGAGGAATTCCATGATGGACAGCGTGAGTCCAGGCAGTTCTGCTGGAGCAGTTGTCAGCTCCCAGAGCAGACCAGAAGCTTTTCTTCCCACAGCTGCTACTGGAATTTACCACTTCTTCAAGCAGAGCTGTGCAGGTAAACGCCGCGGAGAGGATCTGGAATCTGTTTGCTTTCCTGTACAACTGTTGCAGTAAAGAGGTAAGGAGCCAGGCACCCACCAGCCAGTCCATCTCCCTTTCCCTTCTCATGGATTCTCATGGGGACCATGAGCACGGCTCTGCCCTGAAGGGTCTTTGTTCCTCCTTTCCCCTGACTGAATGTGTCATATCTTCCTTCCTTCTTTCCATAGCCATTTGGACAATACCTCCAGCCTTCTCAGAGGACAGCCATCATCCTCAAGACTCTTGACATAATGAGTAGCTACAGCACCGAAGATGATGAGCATTTTGGGGCCGAATTCATGGTGGACATAGCAGTTGAAGACCCTGCCACCTGGCTGATGGATGTAAGCAGCCTGTGGCTGGATTGCCCTGCCCTTGAGCCCTTTCATCGCTCACTCATCCTGCCTCGAATTCCCAGCTCTTGGGCAGCAGTTTCAGTGGTCCCTGGGCAACTGGCTGCAGTCCAGTGGCAGCTACATTCTCTCCCACATCTCCTCCAGGTGCCAAAGATTCTGAGGTTCATCCATGAAAGCCTGAGCAACTGCAGAGATTCAGACCACCAGAAACTCTTCTCAGTACTTTCCACAATGGCCAACCAGTTTCCTAGGGAAGTGCTCCTAAGCATCTTGACAGACCTCCCGACACTTGACAGGTACCAGCCCCAGAAGCCCTGGGGGCTTTTTCTATGTGGGGAGAAGGACCTGGAGAATCTCTGGCCCCTCCATCGCATGGTGCGCATCCTCCCAGTGGAGTGGGCCCCTCCATCGCACGGTGCTCGCCAGCCCTGTTGGGGCAGCCAGGGTCTCAGCATCCAGACCAGACCAAGGCAGCCCAGAGACCCCATCACACTCCCTCCTGCCCCACAGGGAGCACCACCTCAGGCCCCTCCTGCTTGCCCAGCCTGGTCCCCCAGGGCTCCCTAAGCACAGGGTGGCGAGGTCCAGGGCTGCAGGACAGCCCGGGGCCTGCGGGGTTGGTCTGGGTCATGTCGCTGTGACCAGGGCAGCCCTGCCAACAGTGTGTTCTGGGCTTGCAGCACTACGCTGGACATCTGGAAGGCGATGCTTTCCCTTCCAGTGACTTCAGAGAAGATCTTGCAGGAGCTATGGAATGTTCTCCAGGACAACGAAGTGTGCAGCTTCTTTGCAGTCAGCGCCGCGGACTTAAGCATCTTTCACTTTGCTGTGAGTAACCAGACAACACACCTTGTTCCCCTTTGGGGCTATGTGTGCTCCTCCAGGAAAACAGGCACAGTCCTCTCCCCATCCCATCTTCTCCAACCTGTCACCTCTTCCAGGACACAAGGACACAGCCCCTTAGGGCCAGCACCAGCCCCCCTCCACCAGCCATGCGGGGTCCGTGTGCTCAGACATGAAGCCTGCCCCTTTCCTGGCAGTGCTGTCTTTCCCCCGGCTCCTGGCAATGACTGGGGCAGAGTCAGGACAATGTCTGGGGCTGGGGCAGAGCCATGGCCTCTGCACGGGCTGAGCAAGCTGTGAGGCCAGGGACTAGTAGCACCTGTAGCCACCTGCTTCCAGTGCCTGCTTTGTGCCAGATGGTGCTGGTCAGTCGCTCCTCAGAGGTGTGAGACCAAGAGGCTGCGGATGGCCAGAGGGAAGGAGGAGCAGGCAAAGAAAGGATGCTCTGTGTTGCCAGGCGCAGGGCACACAGGAGCCACACACTCCTCCGCAGGCATGGCTGCTCCAGGACGGGCTGCGTGTCCCTCATGCCCTGCCCTGAGCTGCCAGGGGAGCCAGGAGCTGCAGGGCGCAGCCCGTAGGCTCTGCCCATTTCTCATGGCTGTGTTCGTTTCAGATGATGCACCCCATGGATCAGCCACTAGTGTATTTATGTGTCCCTGAGACGGTTTGCATGTGTCTGAGGCTTCAAAGCCTGCCAATGCTCTGGATGATGCTCAGAGCCCTCGACATCTTGTCAGAGAGACCTGAGATGGTGAGTGAGACATTGCCAAGTGAACCTTTTGGCAACCTGGTGCTGGGGCAGGAGGCAACGCCATGGCTTGGCCTTGGCTGGGAGGCAGGAGGTGGGGTGGGTGTGGTGTGGTGGGTGTGGTGGGGGCCTGGTGGCTGCCAGCTGAGCTTTCCAGAAGCTTTCCCAATGGGTTCCCTGGAAGCAGGTGGCAAAGAGGGTGACTCAGCAGGGGATACAGGATCTTTGCTCTCTTGAAGTCCCTTCCCTGTGCCCTTCTGTCCCCACAACACAGTCTGTGCTACCAGGAAACAGGGCAGGAGTCTGGTGCTCCGTAATCAGATTATTTTGGCCAGGATGGCCCTTCCCCTCTTGACTAAAAGCAAATGGTGTCGTTCTGTACAGGGTGGAAAATTTTTGGTCCTGCTGCCGGACGTGATGAATACACTGCAGTATGACAACACGCACATCACCATGAAGGCCCTGACTATCTTCAAAAATGTGATTCGTGATCTGGAGAAGAAGGAGGCCAGCCCCATCGCTCTGGCACTGGCTGGGAGACTCCTGCCTCTGTTTAACAATGTAAGACTGCTGTTGGTGACTGAGCCCTGCAGATGGGCACCCTGCAATGGCACTGCCCTTTGGCCCAGGGCTGTGGGCAGCACTCACGCCGGGCCTTCCCCTCTCTCTGCTCCTCTGGGTTATGGAGGGCTGTCTTCTGGGCTCTGCAGTGCAGCAGGGCTTCTCCTTGTCGAGTTGAGAGCTCTGGGCAGCCAAGGGCTTCTGTTCTGGGGGCAGGAAGATGAAGGCTGAGTAGTCTTAGAATGCCCCAGAGGAATTATCAAAGGCCAGCTATGTTTCCTCCTCAGCCCGTTCCCAGTAGAGCTTTGCTTTGACATGGCTGGTACAGCTACTAGTAAAAGTGGGCCAGCTGGGACTGCACTCTGAGACACAGGCACCCCGTGCAGGAAACCTGTTGCTTTGCCTTGTGCGGGCCTTTAGCTCCTTTGTTCCGAACACGAGGCTTCACCCTTCACATCAGCCACTCTAAGGCCCTTGCTCCCCATGGACAGGTCACTGGCTCCCCACTAACGGTCACTGGTGGCCAGTAGTTACCAGTAGCAACGCATCGCATGCACGGGGGCACCTAAGGAAATCTCAGCCTACCCCCGAATATACTCAACTCCCAATGCCAGGACTGACAATACCTCTCTGTTGGCAAAAGAAAGCGCGAGTCGAGGCCAATGTCATACCATAGCACAAAGGCTTGCTAAGAAAGATCATTTGAGTAGCTTTGCAAGAACAGGTGACTTACTTTCTTCTAAGGCTGTCAAACAGAAAGGATGGATTTGTAGTAGGGTAGCGACTTCCTCAAAGTCTGCAGCTTCGGCTCCAAATTCCCATTTTCTCCACGCACTTGCCTTGCAGCTATTGCATCAGCTCTGGTCCTCAGCGTTCTGCTGACTGAAATGCAGAAACAAACCTACATTGCACAAAAAGAAGATTTGCCAGAGGGACATGCTGAGCCCATTCTTTGGGCTCAATATCAGCATAGATACAACTAGAACCACTGACAACAGCATGATAAGCACACACTGCAATGCGAAATAATGGGAACAAAAGCAAGGAGGCCATGTAGGTTATCTTCTTTCCCAATTGGTTTTACTTTATGGAAAAATGCTAGAACAACCTGGTTGGTCTGGAAGAACAGCAGCAGGTAGAAAGGTACCCTTCATCATTTAACATGACCAAAATTACTACCTTGGCTATTCTTCCCAATAGTGAGGGAACTGGATGGTGACAAAGATGAAACAATTGCTGGGATTGTGGACTTAATGAATCAACTGATCTCCAAAAAGTTCTCAAAACATCCAGCGTACTACCTCAAAATATAGGAAGGCTATTTTGATGAAATGTTCTCTATGGCACAATTCTGCTTTAAGGAAAAAAATCTTTCTGTATACACACTGCATAATATAGAAGCTAGGAAGGACCTAGGTGATTTTCAGAAAATTTCCAACACTAAGACTTTGGGGAATAATAAAGACCAGTTATAATGTTTTCTATATTAGATAGTAAAGTATAAAAATAGTACCATGTAACAGAGAAGTCAGCTCAAGATAAAAAAAAGTAAAAATAGATTCCAAAGATGAGAGTGTTCTACTATCGATTTTCAAGTATCCAGGGAAAAAAAAAAGTGCCTCATAAAAAAAAAAAAAAAAAAGTATTACGTAAAAATATACACAGTACGCTATTTTACTTTTTAAAAATTTTCACGATATGGTGACTGGAAATGATGTCAAGGTAAAAAACCATATTTTACTGCTTCTAACAGTCTGTCAGAGAGATGTAAAATAATAACCTAGAAAGCAGATGTATATTAAGTAACTATTTGCCACTGTCCTTCCTTGAAAGAAATGTCTCTAAACTTACTTTGGAAATTTTAATTATTCCTTTCTTATTTCGGGTATTTGAAATCTTTGCTGCTTTAATAGCTACCTGAAAGCCTTAAAAAAATAGAACACCATACAGCAAATGTTAAGTTACATATTTCCAAAGCTACCTGCTTAAGTTCCCAGGTAGTAGTCACAAACATTTGCAAGAAATACTGAACTGGGATTACTCTTCCAGTAGAGCACTCCTGTTTTCATTGCAGCCTACTCAAAAAGAACTTTACACCAGCAGGATGCTAATACCATTATGTATTTATATATACATTTTTTTCTCTTTAAGACCAAATATCCCAAAGTCATTAATGTAATAAAGGAGTAAAACACTTCCTGGCAAAATGGGGAAGGAAAGACGCAGGAAAGTGACTTTAGTCTTTGTCAGAAGACATGCTGTCAGTTTCAGGAAGCAACTAATAAAAGCAATAAACAAAAAAATAAACCGAAATCTACGTGTCCCCGCAACTACATAGTTATTGTCACCATATGCAATGAGGGAACATGCATCTCCACTATTAAATGGATTGAATTTTATCATATGCACATAACCTTCACAGTCCACCGTGTAAGCAGCATTTCTAGTAGACTCTTGCTTCATTTCCAGGGGACTATGTCAAAGTATCGTGGAAGTGATGTCTTCTTCAGGATGGAGGTCAATGTTCCTATAGGGAAAGTATTAAAAAGCATGCATTATGTATTTGCATAAAGAAAAAAAAGTATTTGTGGCGCAACAAATCAAGATTTCTTGTAACACCATATTTATGGACACAAAAGGTCAACTTAAGCTCATTAGATCCAGATTTAACACCTAATTCCAACTATCAAGAGATTAACTAACCTAACTGACCTAATTCACTAACAGGCATTCAAAACTTTTTCTACAGACATCAGTAACAACTGCAGGTTTTGTGCTACTGATGGCAACCTATCAAGACATGGGATTAAGTAACTCGACGTACCAGAAAAGTCACCCACGTAATTTTAAAAATTTCAACCAAATGACAACAACATATCTATTATTACCTTCAAATTCTCTTCCCTGGTGTACCTCTTTAAAGGACAATCGGTATCTAACTAAAAGCAGAATTAAAACCACCAAACTCTAAATGCAAACACGATTCTGCACATTACTTGTCTCATGGCATAAGCCAGCCCAACTGCAGACAGTGCCTCTATGCCTCTGTACTTGCACAGAAAAAGTTCATTTTCAACTGGATCAAAAGTATACCGAAACATTAATGCTTTACTCCATTCAAGCACTTTCCAAGAAAATCAGACTCCTGTGCTTGCACACAGGACGCTGAGATACACAACTGATTTGGGGATCATCCCTGATTTGACATCAGCGTACACCTTTTGAGAAATGACCATGTTCTCCACGTGCAGCATGGAAAGATAGCTCCAACTTCAGACCCTTGTCATATTTTGTTGCGTTAATGACCTGAAGGGCTCAGCACCGAGGCTGAACATCATGCCTGGGAGCCACCACAGTTTGATGGCGCTATCAGCGGGACTCAAAGAGGCTCTCCACGTGCAATCTGCTCCACATACAGTAGTTCTTTCTGAGTTTGAAAATAAGTGCCATTGTCTTCTGAAACGTTTCATCAAGTTTGAAATCTTTTGCAAGAAATCAACCATTGTCTAGAGTAGAACACAAAATTAAGAGAAATAAATGTGAAAAATAAATAAGAGAGGCCCACGCATGTTTTCACCTTCCATTAAGCTACATATCTGCTGTTGTTTTCTTTTTTTTTTTAACAACAAGTCCAGAGAATAAGTTCTTTCCATTAAACACATAGAGCATTAAGACTCACCTCACTAATGATGGAGCAACAATGAAAAGGCAGGGTAGAAAGTGCTTATGCAGGATGTCTTCACAAAGACCCCTTATTCTCCTTGTATATTTTACTAACTTGAAAGAATGAAAGTTATTACAAAGGACACTCTTTTGTCTCAGCAAGGACCCAATCTGAATACCCTAAAGTGTATCTTCAGTACTACCTGCTTTCACTGCTTGTCCAGTTTAAACCTGGAAAGATGACATTCACTATTGTTTCCTAGTTATTAATAAAAACATCTGATTTGTTGTTGTTGTTGTTACCTATGCACAAAGCCTTTTTTCCTTTCCTTCCCTAAGTCATCATTCTCCCTATTTCCTTTGGAAACGAGCTTCAACATCAGTTTTGAATTTGACTATTTCGTGCTTTGGTCTTTCACCTTCTTGCATTTACTAAGCCCAAAGTACCTGAGACTCTTAAACTGCCTTCTCTAAACCCATTCATTTCTGAAACACAATTCCCTATCGCTGCATACAGTACACAATCAAGACCCCCGTCTTTTACTTTCAGAACACAAATCCAACCTTCCCCTTAGTTCATCTTGTTAACGTGTGCACTGCACTTATTTATTTATTGGTAATTAGTATGATCAGGAACAGGAGAGGGGTGGGGAAAACAGAGACATCTTGCAACAAGCAAGACAAAGCAACAACTTACTTACCAAGATGTTTGCAGGGGAAGAGTTCGAATCACAGTATGGTTTGGGTTGGAAGGGCCATCAGTTAAAGACCATCAGTTTCCAACCGTGGAAAGCCATGGGCAGGGATGCCTTCCACCACATCAGGTTGCCCAGGGCCCCATGCAGCCTGGCCTTGAACACCTCCAGGGATGGGGCACCCATGGCTTCTCTGGGCAACCTGTGCCAGCACCTCAGCATTGTCTAAGCAAACAGTTTCTTCCCAACATCTAACGTAAAGCTGCAAGCTTTGTTTAAGTTATGAAAGTGATCAGTTAGTTAACTTTTAACCTATTCTCCTTGTCTTATCATTACGCTCCTTGATGAACAGTCCCTCCTTCTCTTTCTTGCAGGCCCCCTCCAGGGGAGTGAAGTTGCTTTATTTTACCCCATTTTACTTTGACATGAGCAAAAAGCAGGAGCCATCGCAAACAAAACTGTTGGATAGGTACAAATCAGCCTAGGGCAGGCATAACAAACTCTCGAGAAGGGGTTGCTACCCCCTCACTCTCCTCAGCGGGAGATGCTTCTGAGGAACAATACAAGTCACTGGGAGCCAGCACCCACCCTAAGAACCCCAAAAAGCCCGCAGGACAAGCCCTGGACCCTATACCCGGCATTATGAGCCGGCATCGCCGCCAGCACCCGGGACCCACCCCGAGCTCCGAGGGTCCCCCCGCTTCCCCACCGCCCGGCTCCCCGGGCACGCCGCGAGGCCCCAGCGGGCTGAGGCTGCCCCCGCTCACCCAGCTCCGGCCGTCGGGAGGCCGCGGCTGCCGGCAGGGCTCCGGTCCTTTCCGCCGCTTTGAATTGAAATCCTCCGCTGCCGCCCAATGAGGGAGCGCAGGGCCGCTGCCCCGGACGGACAGGGGGTGGCCCGGGGCTGGGAGGCGCTGCCGGGAAGCGCGGCCGTGCGGGGCCGGAGAGGTGCGTGGGGAGGGCCCGGGGGAGCCGCAGAGGGCTCGGGGCTTTCCCCCGGGCCCGAGCAGGAGCGGGGCTGCGCCGGGGGTTGGGCCCGGGCCCGGGCCCTTGCTGGTAGCGTTGTGGGGCCGCACGGTGTGGGGTGGGCTCCTTTGGGGCAGCCGCTGGGCCCCCAAGGGAAAAGGAGGGAGCGGGAAGGTGAAGGGTGCGGGGAGGGGGGCTGAGCCGCACGGCCGGGTTGTCCCCCTGGTGCTGCCCCAAGGCAGGGGGTCTGCCGTGGTGGGGAGCCTTCGAGGTGGCGAGGAGTTGTGTTTGGCCTTAGGAGCGTGGCGATGCGAGTTATGTGGCTAACGTCCTTCTGTCACCGTGGTGGTTTGTTGTGTTGGTTAATAAATGCACGCTACCAACGTGGAGAGCCTCTTTGAGTCCCGCTGATAGCGCCATCAAACTGTGGTGGCTCCCAGGCATGATGTTCAGCCTCGGTGCTGAGCCCTTCAGGTCATTAACGCAACAAAATATGACAAGGGTCTGAAGTTGGAAGCTATCTTTCCATGCTGCACGTGGAGAACATGGTCATTTCTCAAAAGGTGTACGCTGATGTCAAATCAGGGATGATCCCCAAATCAGTTGTGTATCTCAGCGTCCTGTGTGCAAGCACAGGAGTCTGATTTTCTTGGAAAGTGCTTGAATGGAGTAAAGCATTAATGTTTCGGTATACTTTTGATCCAGTTGAAAATGAACTTTTTCTGTGCAAGTACAGAGGCATAGAGGCACTGTGTGCAGTTGGGCTGGCTTATGCCATGAGACAAGTAATGTGCAGAATCGTGTTTGCATTTAGAGTTTGGTGGGTTTAATTCTGCTTTTAGTTAGATACCGATTGTCCTTTAAAGAGGTACACCAGGGAAGAGAATTTGAAGGTAATAATAGATATGTTGTTGTCATTTGGTTGAAATTTTTAAAATTACGTGGGTGACTTTTCTGGTACGTCGAGTTACTTAATCCCATGTCTTGATAGGTTGCCATCAGTAGCACAAAACCTGCAGTTGTTACTGATGTCTGTAGAAAAAGTTTTGAATGCCTGTTAGTGAATTAGGTCAGTTAGGTTAGTTAATCTCTTGATAGTTGGAATTAGGTGTTAAATCTGGATCTAATGAGCTTAAGTTGACCTTTTGTGTCCATAAATATGGTGTTACAAGAAATCTTGATTTGTTGCGCCACAAATACTTTTTTTTCTTTATGCAAATACATAATGCATGCTTTTTAATACTTTCCCTATAGGAACATTGACCTCCATCCTGAAGAAGACATCACTTCCACGATACTTTGACATAGTCCCCTGGAAATGAAGCAAGAGTCTATTAGAAATGCTGCTTACACAGTGGACTGTGAAGGTTATGTGCATATGATAAAATTCAATCCATTTAATAGTGGAGATGCATGTTCCCTCATTGCATATGGTGACAATAACTATGTAGTTGCGGGGACACGTAGATTTCGGTTTATTTTTTTGTTTATTGCTTTTATTAGTTGCTTCCTGAAACTGACAGCATGTCTTCTGACAAAGACTAAAGTCACTTTCCTGCGTCTTTCCTACCCCATTTTGCCAGGAAGTGTTTTACTCCTTTATTACATTAATGACTTTGGGATATTTGGTCTTAAAGAGAAAAAAATGTATATATAAATACATAATGGTATTAGCATCCTGCTGGTGTAAAGTTCTTTTTGAGTAGGCTGCAATGAAAACAGGAGTGCTCTACTGGAAGAGTAATCCCAGTTCAGTATTTCTTGCAAATGTTTGTGACTACTACCTGGGAACTTAAGCAGTTAGCTTTGGAAATATGTAACTTAACATTTGCTGTATGGTGTTGTTAGAAATGACTCAATCTTCAAAATAGGATTAAATAAAAAAGATGATTTATGAAAAGAATATAAAAGAATAGAGGTAAGCAAACAGTGCTGGGTGCGTCCTGGTGGAGCGGAGACTCCACCAGGCTTTTTTTTAAGGCTTTCAGGTATCTATCAAAGCAGCAAAGATTTCAAATTCCCGGAATAGAAAGGAATAATTAAAATTTCCAAAGTAAGTTTAGAGACATTTCTTTCAAGGAAGGACAGTGGCAAATAGTTACTTAATATACATCTGCTTTCTAGGTTATTATTTTACATCTCTCTCACAGACTGTTAGAAACAGTAAAATAGGTTTTTATACCTTCACATCATTTCCGGTCACCATATCGTGAAAATTTTTAAAAAGTAAAATAGCGTACTGTGTATATTTTTACGTAATGCTTTTTTTTTTTTTTTTTTTTTAACGAGGCACTTTGTTTTTTCCCCTGGATACCTGGCCTCCTTGCTTTTGTTCCCATTATTTCGCATTGCAGTGTGTGCTTATCATGCTGCTGTCAGTGGTTCTGGTTGTATCTATGCTGATATTGAGCCCAAAGAAAGGGCTCTGCATGTTCCTCTGGCAAATCTTCTTTTTGTGCAATGTAGGTTTGTTTCTGCATTTCAGGCGGCAGAACGCTGAGGACCAGAGCTGATGCAATAGAAGGTGTTTGGAGCAAATTTGCCAATGACACTAAACTTAGAGGAGCTGTGGACTCTGTTGAGGGTGGAAAGGCTGTGCAGAGAGATCTGGACACATTGGAGAGCTGGGCAATCACCAACCAGGGGAAGTTTAACAAGAGCAAGTACCGGCAAAGTACCAGCAAGTACCCTCCTTTATCCAGAAGTCTTTTGAGAGCTTCAGTATTCAGCCCCCAAGGTAACTCACTGAAGTGATAAATCAGAAGTCGGCTGTTTTCAGGAGAATGTCCAGTTAAGGTCTCAATATGCTTCCATGCTTCAACTTTTTTGGCAGTGCTGAACGGTTTGTTTTCGTAGTAGTAACAAGCAATTTCTTCCAAATGGATAGAATCCAGAATATCTGTAGATTAAACCTATAAGCAACACCTTCAGTTTTCCTAGCTGATGTTTTAATATGAGAAAACAGTTCAAGAGTGCTATGATTTTACAAAGTTGGGTTGCAGTGGTTTTGTTCAGAGTTTTCTGTACAAGTCAGCTTGACCAGTTTGTAAGCAAGAAGGGATTATCTAGTGGAAGTCAATTGTAATATGTTGCTTGGAAACCCAGTTGTTTCTTCCATCTGCTTGCTTTTGCTATTGCTTTTGCTTCTTTCTTTTTTTTTTTTAATCTGAATGCAGGGCATTGCTTTGCCTTCCAGCTTTCTCACTTGCCATCAGCAATAGATGGTCTGAGAGACCAAGCCCAGGAACTTAACGCTTTTGAAGGGAGAATTAAATGCTTTGCTGTCGGATTCTGCCTTTTGTGAAAGCAAGCCTATGTGGCTTGTCACTGAACAGTGAGCTGGTGATTCACCGTTGAGGCCATTCTGAGATTCTGTGCTGACCTTTGCTCGTTTGGCTCCAGTTTGCTGTAATCCCCCGTTTTGTCAGCAGTTTTGGAAGTGTCCTTCTGGGACAGTATGCTCTTGTTTGAAGGTTTTGTACACTGGAGTGATCCCCCTTTTTCATTCCTCTGGCTGAAAAAAACAAGTTTTCCTGTGAAATCTTGTGGGAATGCAGAACTTGTGTCTGTTTGGACTCTACCTACACTTCAGCTATTACTGCTGTCTTAGGCATAACGTGTTTTGGTTAGGAAAGACGAGTTGTTTGTTCTAGAGACTATGATTGTAAGAGGTACTCCTCACGATGTTTTTTTCCTCTCTGAATCTTTCTTCTTACGGAGGCTGTTTATTCTACGGCTCCTCAGGAACGGGAAAGATGCTGGTTGTTCGTGCTCTTGCTAACGAATGTGGCCGAGGTGAGAGAAAAATATCATTTTTGATGAGAAAAGCTTTGGACTGCCTGAGCCAATGAGTGGGGGAATCAGAATGTCAGCTTTGCTCATTATTTGAACAGGTAAGGTTGAAATGTGGAATGTATTCTGTCAGAGTTGAAACCGTCATTTTTAATGGCCAACATTTTTAAGTAGAACTTGCTTTTTTTTATCTATTTTTTTTATCTTCTTAGTTTATTTTCCACTGAGAGGGAAATGTGAGTGGTTCCTTTCTCAGTGCCTCTGTACTTTGGATCAGGGGCTTGAAAGTGAGTTGTGTGGGGAAGGAAGAAAAGGAGAAAACCTTGCAAAGGGAGGTTTTGCAAAGAGCGGCTCCAGCTCAGAGCTGTTGGGGCGAGCCCTGCCTCCAAGGGATGCTTTTAGTGTATTTTAGGTATTTGGGTATTTCTCTTATCTCCTTGAGCTGTTAGATCATAATGCAGGAAATGAAAGTGCTGCATGCTTAAACAGGGTAATAAAACGTATGCACCTGAGGAAGAGACTTAGGACGGAATAGTTTTTTTGAACGGTTAGAGTTTTACATGAATGGCCTGAAAACACCTTAGAGAAAGGTGTGGGTTGTTTTCACTTTTCCAGACAAGAAGTAACTGGAGTAAGCTCCCTCCTGCGTGGAACAGAAGTTGCACGTTTGTTTTTGTCAGACTAGCTTTCAGTCTATGAAGAAGTTTCTCTACAGGTGACGCTTTGAAGTGGATAGTTTGAAGTGGATAGCAGAACGATAAACAAGAGGAATGCAGTGGTCATGACAAGGACTTGTAATTTGGTATGGAAAGAAAAATGAATCCGCTTTGGGGTGTCTTTTGTTTGTTGGTTTGTTTCCATTTTACAAGAGCAATGGTGCAATCAAGATAATCCCATCTTTACTGTCTCAAAAGATTGTATTTGTTTCTGCATTTCAGTTGGCGGAACGCTGAGGACCAGAGCTGATGCAATAGCTGCAAGGCAAGTGCGTGGAGAAAATGGGAATTTGGAGCCGAAGCTGCAGACTTTGAGGAAGTCGCTACCCTACTACAAATCCATCCTTTCTGTTTGACAGCCTTAGAAGAAAGTAAGTCACCTGTTCTTGCAAAGCTACTCAAATGATCTTTCTTAGCAAGCCTTTGTGCTATGGTATGATATTGGCCTCGACTCGCGCTTTCTTTTGCCAACAGAGAGGTATTGTCAGTCCTGGCATTGGGAGTTGAGTATATTCGGGGGTAGGCTGAGACTTCCTTAGGTGCCCCCGTGCATGCGATGCGTTGCTACTGGTAACTACTGGCCACCAGTGACCGTTAGTGGTCATGTGTCACAGGCTTTCGGAATGTTTGGTCCGAGCACTGCAGTGCCTAGCAGTTTTCGTGGTTGGTGAGCGTGGGTGGTGCTCTCATGGTTGCTCTACTAACAGTGGGCTCTTGGCCTCCACGGGTATGTCCTGCTGTCCTTGTTAATAGATGGATTCCTTGAAGTTGTGGTCCTTTGTAGCTTATTGCCCCACTGTTGAAGCTGACTTTTTTGGGATTGGGTAGTCATGGCTGGTTATGTCTGCCTGGCCTGAGAGGGTGTGGGAGAGGATGAACTTGGCAGGTGCTTCATGTCTAAAGAATTTGGGCCCAACTGGTTTAATTTCCGCTGAGGTTGTAGCTGTGGGATTGCCGTTTGATGAGAGATCTTCATCCTGAGCATCTTTTCTATGTGGGCCTAGTGGGTTTCTGGGTTGTCTTCTGAACCAAAACGCTTACTTTCCCTGTGACTTTCATGAGACTTAACTTACCCCGCTCCATTTTTAAATTCATATAGGAAGCTTGCGTCCCGAACCTGTAATGGAATTAAGTTCTGACCCCTACCCCCTTTTTTTTCTTGTTTGTTCGTTTTTTATGGTAGCCAAAACGCTGTAGCAAGTACTGGTATGATTTGTTTCCAAATCATAACTCATAAATTTCAGGTGATTTGAAAGGATCGTTGAAAACAATACTCCAACCCTGATATCAGCACCCGGTTTGTGTTAATGCACCTATTTTTTTATGTCTTAAAATGAGTCTTGTCCTTAAATGCTTTTCCTTTCTGACTACTCATGGAAGAAAGTCATATGGAATGGAAAAAAATGTACCTAACTTGCAAGTATAATCTATGTTTTTCTACTAGTGCCATTGTCTCAACACTTCTGGATGGCATAGACAACAGAGGGGAGATTGTGGTAATCGGAGCCACCAACAGACCAGGTTCTATAGATCCTGCTTTACGGAGACCAGGACACCTTGACAGAGAGTTCCTCTTCAACTTGCGAAATAAAGAGGTGAGAACTTCAATTCAATGTTAATGCTAATGTGGCAAAGTCCAACTTTCTAGAAAAAAAAAATTACAACGTGAATAAAAGAGTGATATGTGGAGACACTGTGTCGTCACGTGGAGGGCAAGTCTGGTACTGGATATATATGGTCAAGATGATAGCATCAAGTAGTTAGTTCTAGAATCAACTCTTTGATTCCCAAAGTTTGCTTAATTAATTAATCCACGTAGGCGCTTTCATCTTGACATTGTGTTCTTGGTCTCAGTACTCCTGTGTGAATGGATAGGGGATGTATTTGCATTTGATTGTTTCCCGGATCAAAGGTAGTAGTTTGAGTCATAATTATTTTCTTCTTTCTAGTAATTGTAGCAGCTTGAAACATAGTGCTCGAAGTGCTTTCTGCAAATTTACTGACTGAAAAGCAGATTTGATGAACTAATGAGACTGCCACAACGCAAGTTTGCTCAATTTTTGAGAAATTTTTTGGAGAAAAAAAGATCTGTTTCTGGATCAATTTTTCGTTACAGTATTTTACTCTGGGTCATTAGGTCTCATATTTTGGAAGCTGATTGCAGAAGCTATAAATGCCTTTTCTTTCATTGCAGGTTCCTAGAAAAAGTTTGGTGTAACAAATTAAGAAATACTGGATTTCCAGGTTGAAAATGCAGAGTGTATATTACATAACTGTACAATACTGGAAAGTTTTGCAAATAAGAAAAGTGTATTACTATATGAGGGGTTTTGAGGCCCCTTCAGAAAGAAGGGGCCTTATTTTAATAGCTATTCATCAGCTACAGAATTTGTTCCTCATTTTCTTTATTCTAAGGGGGGAAAAAAATCACCAACAGAGTAGCGTACCTTATACATACACATCAATGGGACCTAAGACAGCTTTATAGAGACTTGTGCCGTCTCCTTAGATCTGTGGTGGGATGAACTGTAGGAAATAGCATTCAGTGTGTGCCCTCAAATGAAGAAAGGGTTTTGGCACAGATTTAGAAGCTGTCTTAATGCAAGAGAAAGAGGCACAGGCTATTCAGGAAAGTTAAGAAACCTCTTTTGTCTTTCAGGAAATGTAAATCCTATTTTACAAGCTGATATACTTGACAGTGATGATGACGCATCCTTAATGTCTGGAGATGAACTACCAGGTAAAATGCCTGACAGACCAGAGGAAAAGTTCCTCTGTTTCAGCAGGCAAAGAAAGATGGGTCGCCATTATGTTTACATTGTCAGGACTGCTGAGTCTTTGTAAACAGTTTCAGCTGTTAGAAGTGTGAGGGGTGGCAGATGAAAGGGGAACATCAAGTTTGTGTGTTGAAGGGTGCTCGCTATTCTCAAGAAGAAAGTGAAGGGACTAAAATTCTAATGAAGTGGATTGCTCTAAATGATCCAAGTGAAAAGCCCAGGCTTCTCCTCCTAAGCCAAAGTGATCCGCAGACTACTAGAAAAATCCATGGCATTCTTTGAAAGACTCAAGACCACATAAATGTGCCGTCTGTCCTTTTAGCTAAAAATAACCAACTTCCTGGGTTTGCGTTGCCACCTTTTGCCCTTCTGTTACCCAGGACTGTTAAAATGAGTAGCGAACTCTGTAGCAGAAAGCAAACTGAGAAATGGCTTGTTAAAACACCTGGAGAAAAATTCAAAGTGTTTTTATTTGTTACCATTAAACCACCAAATTGTGTTATCTTTTGGTATTTTAATGTGGAAGTCACATAAGCCCACGGTTGGAAAGTTAGATTATGTTGTCACAGTCGGGTCAGTTATTTTTCTCACTTCCTGTTGCTGTGCTGTCCAGAAAATGTGCTGACCCTTTGAGCAAGGTTAACTCTCTAGCATCTTGGATTTAAGCCAGTAAAGGTACAACCTTAGTGTAGTGGGAAAAAAGCAAATGCTTCTTGGGAATGTATTTCCTAGTAGGAAATCAAGATTGCCAGGCTATTAATTCGCAATCTTGGGTTAGTAAAGAATAGGAAACATAAGGGAAGAAGATGAAACAATTAGAATGACTGTGAGAATAAATTAACTGGAAATCTTACATGTGTTTCATGTACTGCTGTCATTGAACCAATCCAGTTATGCCCTGCTTTAGATATGGCCCACATCCATTTTTTTTCTAGAAAAGCTGTTCTGCTCCTTTCTTGCTACCTTCTTCAGTAACGAGGGCCACATTTCAGCTAAATTTGACAGATGTAGAGATCTCTCGGGTACTTAAACTTGAGACCTTCTGAAGATTGGTGTATATAGGAAGCGATGAGATGCAGAGTGGTGTGTGCTGAGAGAGAAAGTTGCTGTGCTCTCCAATATCAGGTAGCAGACTGGGTGTCATCTGTGTATTCGGCTAGACAGTCCACGTGTACACTTGAGGAGTCATTACTTAGCCCAGCCAAATGAATAGCAGACGCGGTAGAGATGGGCAGGATTTCTCAGGGGGAGGTATGGTGCAAGATTGTAAGAAAATGGGCTTTAATGGTCTTCCTGATCGCAGAACAGCTTATTACTTGCTGGAATATGGAGGTTATTTGGGGCGGGAGGGGGAAAGTATCTAGGAAAAGTACTTGGAACATCTGTGTGTCTATTCAGCACCTCATTTCTAAACTTGTTTTCTTATGACTCTTGTTCTAGGAGTGCTTACTAGAAACCGACATCATGTGAGCCTCATCTGCTAATAACAGGAAAAGAGGGATATGGCCAGGTTTCTTATTTGGCACCCGCGGTGTTGCATGCTTGGGAGAAGTCTCCATTCACACCCTGACCCTATCCATTCTGTTCACAAACGTTGCACCGCCAGAAGAAATATGGGGAGAGGTCTCTTTTTTCTTTTTATTCTCATAGGATTCGTTGACTGTATGTAGAGGATCAATTGAGTTGCAAGTAAGGTAAGCAAAGTTCATTGGTAATGGAGGTGGCCTTGTTTTCATGTGCTGTTACGTTTGCACTGAACTACCACGGTCAGGGATTCACCAATAACATATAACCACCCTTACTCTAGGCGTGTTTAATGAGAACTATCATGGCTAGGAACAATGCAATCAAGTGCAATTTATTACAGCAACCGGCACACAGGGTCTTTGGATTGCCGGCGATAGTTGCTGTCTGCAAAAGCAAGCTAGCATGCATGAAATACACAGGTGACACAGGTGCACAGCCTGGAAATTAACATGCTAACAGGCACAAAGACTCTAGAGATTTCTAAGTTTCCGTGGAGACGCACAGTATAACCAAGTGTTCAAATCTCACCCAAAGGCGTCTCAGTGGGGCGGGGGAAGAGAGGCTCAGCTCGTCCACTGATCCCAGGGGTCAGGAGGTCCTCGGGATGGTGCATTCCCTCGGGATGGTCCCAACGATGATATCTTCCCCAACGATGATATCTTCCCTAACGATGATATCTTCCCTAACGATGATATCTTCCCTAGCGATGATATCTTCCCTAACGGTGATATCTTCCCTAAAGGTGATATCTTCCCTGACATCCCCTCTCTCTTGGGCCAATTTATCTTATTTTCTATCTTTTCGGTGGAGCTTGAGTGGCACTACACTACAGCATTTGTCAAAACATGACAGGTCCTTGGCTCAGGGTAGCAAAAAGTGCGGCATATCGGTCTCGATGTGCACAAGAACAATCGAGTCCCCACCTGGTCACAGAGCCTAGCCGTGGTGTCTCCACTCCACTCTACGCTCCGTACTGTTCCTTAGAGCTAGCACACCAGGTTCCCCTAGTGCGATAGCATCTAAGGTTGGGAGCCTAGGGAACGCTCAGGTAATGCAGCTACGCCCTACCCTGAAAGCCTCTTCAGTGCTGTAGATTTTCCTTAAAAAATGTGAATGTTAGTCTTCTTTTCCTAGTTACTTCAGGCAAGTATACCACAGCAGCTTAGGTTAAAAAGCTGCACTTCAAGATGTGTGGATCCAGAGTAACATGTGGAATAGGAGATTTATGCCCTAACATTGCAGTGTAAGATGCGTTTCCTAACGTGAATTGGCAACATGACTGTTTTTTTCCCTCTATTACCCTTTTCTCTAGTGCTTTTGGTTTGATTGGGGGGAGGGGGTGTTTGTTTTTTTTTGTCGCATTTCAAAGTTTAATGGAGCAGTGACATTAGCTGGAAAGAAGGGAGAAGCCAAGTATTTCTCAGTGAAGATGGTAACAGTGCTGTCTCTGTATTTGTAGAAAGAGATTGTTTTGCAGGTACAGGATACTTCACTGAGACTGTATTCTCCATAAACCGGAAACCTGACTGAAGAAATTTGTGTCATTCCAGATTCTTACAAGCTTCAAATGGCTCCTACTGGGCATTCCCAGGTAGAACAGCACCAGATGAGTGTTGAGACCACCGTGGAAGCTTCTACAGAGCCAGACAATGTAGTTATTGTGGAGCACTATGAGCTCAAAGTATGTCAAATTCCAACTTTTTTAAATGCTCAAATAGGACATATTCTTGTGACCTGTACAATTACAACTTAAGTCAGTTGTTAAGCAATGCCAATTAAAACAATTAATTGGAAGGACATACAGATTGTGAAGTAATTCAACCTATAATGCACTGTGGCTGTTTAGTTTCCACACCTTGTGTAGATTTCTGTAGGCCACCGTTTGCTTTTGGTCAACTGTAGTTGAGGAGACAGATTCCTTGCCTAATTTTTAAGGTAAAAGGCCTTGTTGAATTTTAAAATACCTCACTGATGACCTGCTAGTACTATTGGTTATGATTGTTGTTTTAACAATTTTTATGATGGGCTTTTATTTGGGGATGTTTATTATGAGTTGTTGTTTTTCTGTTTGTTTGTTTGTTTGTTTGTTTTTTATGCTTTGATGTATTAGGAACATGAAAAGGATCTTTATTTCTTTCAGAGATGATTTTAAACCTGAAGTTAGCAGGTTGACATAAACAGGGTAGCCATGGATAAGTGACTACTTTTCTGAAATTGCTTCCAAATGCAGTATTAGAATTTCCCATCCATACTATTGCAGTGTACTGAGGGTTTGCCAGTCTCTCCTGGGAGGAAAGTGGTTATCCTAGGCTCCAGCGGGGGAAGTGGGTAAGACTGGCACTAGGTACGTGAAGAAGAACGTTCCTTTGCAGGAGTTGGAGAGGGCATAAGTAAGGACCGTCTTGAGGGGAGAGCAGAATGAGGGAAATTAGAATGAGGCAATTCGAATTGAGGCAAATTGCTAGGAGTCCTGGAGGTTGGCCCAAAGCAGATAAGGGCTGCTGTTTATGTGCTGCATGAATCCTGTGTGGGGAGAATATGACCAGATAAGAATCCTCTTGGGTAAAAGGGCTTGTCAACACGATTTTTGTCAAATCCTTAAGCTGTGACCTAATTTGTAGAGGCGATACTAACTTTTCAAAGGTGTCTTGCTAAGGAAGCAGATTCCAGGTTTCTTTGTTGTTCGTGTCTGCCAGTAGATACGGAAAAGCGATAGAGGTTTTTCACAGAGTCGGCTAGGTAAACCTCAAGAAGTAGTTGGATTTCTGTTGTTGCTGTTTGCTCCTTCGGCCTGGAAGTTGATGAACTTCTTGATCAGTGTGCAGCCATCCATATGGTAGCAGTTAGGTACAGTTTCACGTGGGACCTCGAGCCTTCTCAGATTTTCCTTTTCTGTTTACTGCAGCTGAAAGTGCTCTGGGTGTTTTTTGTGTGTTTTATGTCCATGTTGTATAGAACGAAATTGAGGAGAATACTCCAGTTTTGTGCTAGCTGGCGTGAGGGAGGCAGAGGCAGAGTTTGATGGTAAGATGCTAAGCAGCAGTATTTCCAGGGGGCAGTAGTATTTCCCTTTGCCACGGCTGCTCTCTAAAGCTACACACTCACAGTCTCACCGTGATAACGAACAGCCGTGTCAGTGGAAGAAGGTGCTGCCACTAGCTTGTCACTGTTGCCGTGCCAGAGATGATCATCTCTGCATTTTGGTAATACAAATGCCTGTATGGGAGATTGGTAATTGCTACAAGCAGTCTCTTTACTATTTATCCACCCCTGAATGGAAAGGTAGGATTGAGCTAACTAATCTAACTTTGCTCTGCGTGCTTGAGCAACCTGTTCTGCCAGCAGAGTTGTAGGCATGGTACAAGTTTGACTAATGGGTAAATGGGAATCACCTAAATGGGTAAAGGGAATCACCTAAGGATGCTTCCTTCTCCGGCTGGCACAGCTGTACCTACAAGATCTGTAGCCCAGCTTCAAAACGTGCTTTTTACAGCGCGCTGCGCTGCTGCAGCAACTTCTGTAGTGAAATGCAACAGTGGCTTTGCTGTGGCAACAACTATCCCACAAAGAGGATCGTGTCATTCCCTGCTGCTTTGGAAGCAGCCGACTTGCGATTGTGAGCACAGATGTGGTAGACTGATAAGTAATAAAAGATTGTCTGAAGTGTAAGCCTTTCCTTTCTCTGAAGTATGAAGAGTGAACTCATTTTCTCCACTGAAATCGCGTGGGATATTTAATCTGTTCTCTGCAGTGTCACATTTTATTTAATAGTGTAAGAAAAGTAGGATGTCACTTGTATTGTTACTGTTTAACCTCTGGAAACATAAAGAGCGTATTCAGTAGATCTCGTGCTCTTGTAAAGTGTTTTTTTTTCTTTTCCCATTGTTTTCTTCAGAAACTGTTGCACACTGTCCTTGAGCTAACTAAGGGATTTGACGTATTTCACTTGGAGAAAGTATATGTAATGATTAAGCGATATATTTACGAACATTGGGAAGACTGTGACAAAACCGATTCAGTGGAGGTGATTTCTGTTTTGTCTTATAGCACTTTCTGTCACCGTTATTTCAGTATGTGTGCATTCTGGCTCTCATGGTTGTTTAGCGTTGCTCTTTCCTGCTTAGTTGTCTGTGCACAGGCAAAAACAAAAGTCAGACTTTTTTCTTTCAGTCTGGAAGACATCTATCCGTATTGCAAAAGCATTGCTATATTTGGCATAATTGTTGGCAGTTTCAGCAGGAAAAAGCTTGACCTTGAAGACAATGTGTTCACCCACACAGCCCTTCCAAAGCAGTTAACCTTGGTCTGTCAGTAGTTTTTCTTGAGCACCAGTTTGGGGGCGGGAGGGCTATGAAGGGAAGGTGCTTTTCTAAGTCTTTTGCTTCCTCTCTCTCCCTCTATAGCCAGTCGGGCATGGTAATACTTGGTAGTCGTTCAATCCTTGGCGAGAAACTGAAGTATATAACAAGAGTTTGAGACTTCTCTCTAGTCACACTCTAATCTCTATCTGATATGCTTGAACATCTGTAATTTGGGAGATTTCTGCCTGTGCCAGTTTTACATTACATTGAGTCAAGTTTTGCTCTCTACAGATACCTTAAAGGAGGCTGTAGTGAGGTGGGGGTTGGCCTGTTCTCCCACGTGCCTGGTGACAGCACGAGGGGGAATGGGCTTAAGTTGCGCCAGGGGAGTTTTAGGTTAGATGTTAGGAAGAACTACTTTACCGAAAGGGTTGTTAGACACTGGAACAGGCTGCCCAGGGAGGTGGTGGAGTCACCATCCCTGGAAGTCTTTAAAAGACGTTTAGATGGAGAGCTTAGGGATATGGTTTAGTGGGGACTGTTAGCGTTAGGTCAGAGGTTGGACTCGATGATCTTGAGGTCTCTTCCAACCTAGAAATTCTGTGATTCTGTGATCCCCTGGGCTCTTCTCACACAAGCTGCCCCTGCAGAACCCCCCTATCAAAACCTGGCCACATAAGACAAATACTGAAGGATACCAAGGGACTGGTCGTGTAGTTGCAGTTTTACTCAGAGAGATCTTCCCCAGGGAAGCTTTGCGGCTCCCTGGCTTTTCACGGCCAGCAGCGCAGTGCTTTTAGCCTAGCCCATCTTGATGATGCGGGTTGCTGCTGTACTTGATGTTGCAGGATCTCTATGGTCCAGCTGCCAGGTTACGGATCAGTGGATGGGTGTCACATTGCATTTGGAGGACTGCGACAGAAAGACACAGAACAGAGATGCAAGCTGTTGACCTACAGAGACCATCCAGCATCACTCTGGACCATGCCAACCCCATCGTATACTTCTAGGGCCAGCAGGAACAGGTCCGGCTAGCGTGTCCCTTTGCCCCTGCAGCATTTCCCTGGAGCAGGACAAGGCTGCAGACTGCATGGGCTTTGCCCCCTGTCACTTGTTCCCAGCACCCCCAGCACTGCCCTCACTCACAGGTGATGATCACATGCAGGTCTTCTTTGTCTAGGTCCCTGGAGTGCATTGCAGCAAACGCTAGGAAAAGAGCACCAGTCAGATCCTGCTCCCCATCACAGCCCCTGGTATAGACAGGCGCTGCCCCCCGCCCCCAGCCCCCCTGCAAGCACAGTGCCCAAGGAGGAACCTGAGCAAGGCACACCCCAGGCCCACCTGCATGGGCAAGGGTCTGAGGGAGGCACAGGACTCCTGGGGGTACAATCAGGGGCTACAGGGCCCACAGGGCTGGGCCTTGCTGCCAGGGCAGGGCCCAGACAAGGCAAAGCAACAGGTTTCCCGCACGGGGTGCCTGTACCATGGAGTGTGCTACAAGCCAGCCCACTTTTACTGGTAGCTGCACCAGCCATGTCAAAGCAGAGCTCCCCTGGGAAAGGGCTTCGGTAAGGCTTCTGGGGCACACTCTGTCTCCTCAGCTTCTGCCTTAGCACAGGGAACTTTTGGCTGTGCTGAGTTGGATACCTGACAGCAAGAAGCCCTGCTGGACTGCGGAGCCCAGAAGACAGCCCACCATAACCCAGAGGAGCAGAGAGAGGAGAAGGCCCTGCCCGAGTGCTGCCCACAGGCCTGGACCAAAGGGCAATGCCATTTCAGGGTGCCCGTCTGCGGGGCTCAGTCACCAACAGCAGTCTTACTTCATTAAAGAGAGGCAGGAGTCTCCCAGCTAGTGCCAGAGCGATGGGGCTGGCCTCCTTCTTCTCCAGATGACGAATCACATTTTTGAAGATAGTCAGGGCCTTCATGTTGATGTGCGTGTTTTCATACTGCAGAGTCTCCATGACTTCTGGCAGCAGGACCTGCACGTCCATCACCTGTACAGAAAGACACCGTATGTTTTTAGTCAAGAGGTGGACAGCCACCCTGGCCAGGATGCTCTGGTTCCAGAGCACCAGCCTCCTGCTCACTTCCTGGCAGCTGCCATGGGAATCTCACCAGCAACCTTCCATCAGGCAATGGCCACGAATGTGGTGATTAAGTAGCTGGGAGAGCAGGGCATGGGGAAGGGAGGTGATGAGAGCAAGGGCTCCGTTTCCCCCCCTGAGTCGCCCGCTTTGCACATGTTCCCCCAGGGAATCCATCTGGAAAGCTCCTGGGACGCTGCACAGGCAGCCACCAGGCCCCACCGCCACCATCACCCCACCTCCTGACTCCCAGCTAATGACAAGCCATGGTGTTGCCTTCTGTCCCAGCACCAGGCTGCCAACAGGGCTTTGTTTGGCAAAGTCCAACTCACCATCTGAGATGTCTCCGACAGCATGACGAGGGCTCTGAGCACCAGCCAGAGGATCGGCAGGCTGTTAAGACTCAGAAGCGTCAGGAGCTTTTTTGGGTCACGTAAATTCGATAGTACATTTTCAGTTGGATGCATCATCTGAAAAGACCACAGCCGTGAGAGATGGGCAGAGCCTGCAGCATGCCCATCACCACGCAGCTCCTGGCTTCCCTGGCAGCTCAGGGCAGGGTGCGGGGGAAATGCACCCAGGTGCCTGTCCAGATGCTCATCCTGGGGCAGCTGTGCCTGCAGAAGAAAACAGGGCCCCTCTGTGCCCTGTGCATGGCACCACGCGGCACCTTTTCTTTGCCTGCTCCTCCTGCCCTCTGGCTGTCCGCAGCCTCTTGCTGCCATGCCTCTGAGGAGCAACAGAGCAGCATGAACTGGCACAAAGCAGGCTACAGGTGCTACTTGTCCCCGGCCTCACAGCCTGCCCAGGCTGTGCAAAGACCACGGCTCTGTCCCAGCCTCAGCCATTGCTGTGATAATACCCCTGGCCCTGCCACTGCTGCAGGTTTCCATTCTGAAGGGCAAGGTAGGGGGATGCCGGAGATGGAGAAAAGTGAGCACTGCCTGTAAAGGGGTAGGCTTCGTCTTTGTGCACAGGGACCCCGTATGGCTGATGTAGGGGGGCTGGTGCTGGCCCTAAGGGGCTGTGTCTATGAGTCCTGGAAGAGGCGACAGGTTGGGGAAGATGGGGCAGGGAGAGGACTGTGCCTCTCCCGGAGGAGCGCACACAGCCCTGAAGAGGAGCAAGGTGTGTTCTCTGGTTACTCACAGCGAACTTAAGAAGGCTGGTGTGCACAGGCCGGGCTTGCAGAGACCCGCACACCCGTTTGTCCTCGAGAACATTCTGTAGCTCCTCCAAGATCTTCTCTGAAGTCATTGGAAAGGAAAGCATCACCTTCCACATGTCCAGCGTAGTGCTGCAAGCCCAGAACACTCTGTTGGCAGGGCTGCCCTGGCCACAAAGCTGTGACCCAGACAAGCCCCGCAGGTCCCAGGCTATCCTGCAGCCCTGGCCCTGACCCGCTGTGTGCTTAGGGAGCTGTTGGGGTGGTACCTGTCAAGTGGCGGAAGGTTGGTCAGCACGCTTATGAGAGCTTCCCTGGGAAACTGCTTAGTCAGTGCCTTCAGTACTAAGAAGAAGCTCTGCCGGAGTAAAGATGTGCTGTCGCTCCTTTTCAGGTTTTCATGGAGGAATCTCAGAATCCTTTCCACCTGGAAGGGACACAGGAGAGAATGTGGCTGCCGCTGGACTGCAGCCAGTTGCCCAGCTGCCACTGGAACTGCTGCTGGGTATGAGAGGCAGGATGTGAGCAAGGGATGAAAGGGCTCAAGGGCAGGGCAATCCACTGCTTACATCCATCAGCCAGGAGGCAGAGTCTCTCGCGGCCACTTCCAGCGTGAACTTGGCCCACTGATTCTTGTTGTCGTCGATGCAGCAGTCTCTAATGGTCTCAAGTGTCCTGAGGACAATGGTTGTCCTCTGAGAAGACTGGAAGTATTTTCCAATTGGCTACGGAAGGAAACAAAGGATGGAAGGGAAGAAGGGAGAAGGGAAGGGAGGGAGGAAAGACAGGACACAGTAAGTCAGAGAGCAGCACCTGGGGAGGGAAGATCAGGGGGAAGGAGAAAGAAAGACCCCCCCTTCAGGGGGGGGGGAGGGAAGGAGCGGCCCCGCTTCACCGCGCCGCGCGGCGCGAGAGGGGTTCGCTCCGGCGTCTCGTCTCTTTCCTTCCTTCCCCTACGCCCCCCCCCCTCCCCTCCCCTTCCCTTTCGGGGGGGGTCCGAGTTGACCTGGCGGCTTCGTCCCGTGGGAAGCGCCGCCCCCCTCCCACCCCCCCATCGGCGCGGGCGCCACGGGTAGACCTGACGCCGTTCGGGAAGGCGGAGGGACGGCCCCGCCGAGGGAGGCGAGCGACAAAGACGCGGCCGGGGGGACGCCCGCCCGCGGCCTCGTACGGGGACCTGTCGGCCGGATCGAGGCTTCCGTGGGCAGATAGGCTTGGCTTTGGCGTGCCCGGGTAGACCTGGCGGCCCTGCCGAGTCCTTGCCGAGGCTGCCGCGGGCAGACGGCTTCCGTTTGTCATGCCTGGATAGACCTGGCGGCCCTTCCGAGGCTCGTCCGAGGCTGCCGCGGGCAGACGGGCTCCTTTCGGAAGGCTGGCTTGAGCTGGCGGCCCTTCGGGGGGCGGCGGCAGCGCTTTTCCGGCGGCGGGTAGACCTGGCGGCCCGTCGGAGCGAAGCGCGCCTCCGCGCCCCCGCGTACGCTCTGCACGGCACTCCAAGGCAGGCGCGCGCCCGTGTCCCGCCTACAGCCGGCACACGGGCTCGCCCGCCCGCCCGCTCGCTCGCCAACGGGCTGTGCCGCTTCAGCTCCTCGCCTTGACGGCACCTGCCTACACCTGGCGGATCGAGGCTGGGGGGGGATCGAGGGGGAAGAAGAGGGAGGGCAGGGGATTCACCTGGCCACTTCACCCACCACCACGACGATCGGAGAGCTGGCGGCCGTCAGCTAACATCGCCTGCCTACGCGCATTCCTGGAGCCCTGCGCTTTCTTCCCCCGCCCTTCTCTTTGCTTCCCTTCTGCTTTCTCATTCCTTTCTTCATCGATTCCTTGGCTGATCGATCGATCCATCGATTCGTTGATTCGTTCACTCCTTCACTCTTCATTCATTCAGTCATTCATTCATTCATTGACAAATACACCTCTTTTCGTTCCCTCCCTTCCCCCCTTCTCCCCGTTGCCACGCCGGTCTTCCCCAGCAGCCAGCCTAGAAGCGGGTCAGAGCTCAAGATCGCCGCGAGTCGGGGAAGCGCCGTGTAGACGGACGGGGCCGCGGGCGGCGGACAGCCGCTGCCCTCGCGAGCCCGCGAGCCCGAGCCGAAGCGCGAGCCCGAAGCCGACTCCGAGCCCGATCCGCCCCGGCCGCGGAGCCGACCGTCGCGGGAGGCGAGGCAGCGCCCGCCCGCCCGCCTTTGCGCCCCGGACGGGGCCCGCCCGGGGAAAAAAACGCTGGAGGCGGGCGCGAGCTCGTCGCTCTGCTCCCTCCCTCCCTCCCTCCCGCGCGATCTAACTGCCCGCCGGCCGGGACACGGGCTCGGCGGGAGCCTGACGACCAGCCGGCTTGAAGCTCCGTGCCCGGAATAATGCGTACCCCTGTCGCCTACGTGTGGCGCCGGCTTCCCGCCGAGCAGAGCGGCCGGCGACGAGCTAGGAGGATTGCCCCTCCCGCCGCCCCCCCCGCCCAACTGCTCGGAGGGGCTGCGGTGCGGCGGGCGGGGGGAAAAGGGGGGGAGAGGAGCCGGCGCCGCGGGGAGGAGGGAGAAGTAGACCTGGTGGCTCCACGAGGAGGGAGGGGGCGGGGGGAGAGAGGCTGCCAGGGTCCAGGCACTTTGCTGGTCATGCACGGAAAGTCCTGGTGGGCAAGGGGACACTCAAAGGTGCGAGGTTAGGGGGTGGGCAGAGAGAAGGGGCTTTTGTTGTGTCCACCTGACAACGATAGCAGGGGGCTATCATTTCATGCCAAAGTAAATGAAGCTTGCCTTCCAGACTTCTCTCATTACTGGCCGCCCTCTAGCAGTGGCCGTGATGGCTAGACCGATGGCCGTGACGACGGGGTAGACCTGATGGCTCCACGAGGCGGGAGGGGGCGGGGGGAGAGAGCGGGGAGGAGGGAGAAGTAGACCTGGTGGCTCCACGAGGAGGGAGGGGGCGGGGGGAGCGGGGAGGAGGAGGGAGAAGTAGACCTGGTGGCTCCACGAGGAGGGAGGGGGCGGGGGGAGAGAGCGGACCCCGGCTGCTTCGGGCCGCCGCTCGCTCTGACGTCAGAGGTTCTTGCTCGGCCGCGAGAGGCTCGCCACCTGTGCCACTCAGTGCGGCTGACTGCCTGGCCGCTTTGCTTTAGCTGCTTTGGAAAATCAATGCTGTTATCTTTATGTTTGTTATTAGTTAGTTCCGTTGCCTGTTTTCTGCTGTAGCTTTAGGAATCCTGTCATTCCTTACCGTCTTTCAAAACCTCCCCCAACCCTTCTCCTCAGCTCCCCGTCCTCCCCCCCCCCCGCCTCATCAACATCAACAAAGGATGAAAGGGAGGAAGGGAGAAGGGAAGGGAGGGAGGAAAGACAGGACACAGTAAGTCAGAGAGCAGCACCTGGGAGGGAAGATCAGGGGGAAGGAGAAAGAAAGACCCCCCCTTCAGGGGGGGGGAGGGAAGGAGCGGCCCCGCTTCCCCGCGCCGCGCGGCGCGGGAGGGGTTCGCTCCGGCGTCTCGTCTCTTTCCTTCCTTCCCCTACGGCCCCCCCCCCTCCCCTCCCCCTTCCCTTTCGGGGGTGTCCGGGTTGACCTGGCGGCTTCGTCCCGTGGGAAGCTCCGCCCCCCTCCCCACCCCCATCGGCGCGGACGCGACGGGTAGACCTGACGCCGTTCGGGAAGGCGGTGGGACGGCCCCGCCGAGGGAGGCGAGCGACAAAGACGCGGCCGGGGGGGCGCCCGTCCCGAGGCCTCGTACGGGGACCTGGCGGCCGGATCGAGGCTTCCGTGGGCAGATAGGCTTGGCTTTGGCGTGCCCGGGTTAGACCTGGCGGCCCGGACGAGGCCCGCACGAGGCTGCCGCGGGCAGACGGCTTCCGTTTGTCATGCCTGGATAGACCTGGCGGCCCTTCCGAGTCCCTGCCGAGGCTGCCGCGGGCAGACGTGCTCCTTTCCGCAGGATGGCTTGAGCTGGCGGCCCTTCGCGGGGCGGCGGCAGCGCTTTTCCGGCGGCGGGTAGACCTGGCGGCCCGTCGGAGCGAAGCGCGCCTCCGCGCCCCCGCGTACGCTCTGCGCGGCACTCCAAGGCAGGCGCGCGCCCGTGTCCCGCCTACAGCCGGCACACGGGCTCGCCCGCCCGCCCGCTCGCTCGCCAACGGGCTGTGCCGCTTCAGCTCCTCGCCTTGACGGCACCTGCCTACACCTGGCGGATCGAGGCTGGGGGGGGATCGAGGGGGAAGAAGAGGGAGGGCAGGGGATTCACCTGTCCACTTCACCACCACGACGATCGGAGAGCTGGCGGCCGTCAGCAGCTAACGGCGCCTGCCTACGCGCTTTCCTGGAGCCCTTCGCTTTCTTCCCCCGCCCTTCTCTTTGCTTCCCTTCTGCTTTCTCATTCCTTTCTTCATCGATTCCTTGGCTGATCGATCGATCCATCGATTCGTTGATTCGTTCACTCCTTCACTCTTCATTCATTCATTCATTCATTCATTCATTCATTCATTCATTCATTCATTCACAAATACACCTCTTTTCGTTCCCTCCCTTCCCCCCTTCTCCCCGTTGCCACGCCGGTCTTCCCCAGCAGCCAGCCTAGAAGCGGGTCAGAGCTCAAGATCGCCGCGAGGCGGGGAAGCGCCGTGTAGACGGACGGGGCCGCGGGCGGCGGACAGCCGCTGGCCTCGCGAGCCCGCGAGCCCGAGCCGAAGCGCGAGCCCGAAGCCGACTCCGAGCCCGATCCGCCCCGGCCGCGGAGCCGACCGTCGCGGGAGGCGAGGCAGCGCCCGCCCGCCCGCCTTTGCGCCCCGGACGGGGCCCGCCCGGGGAAAAAAACGCTGGAGGCGGGCGCGAGCTCGTCGCTCTGCTCCCTCCCTCCCTCCCTCCCTCCCTCCCCCCCGCGTGATCTAGCTGCCCGCCGGCCGGGACACGGGCTCGGCGGGAGCCTGACGACCGGCCGGCTTGAAGCTCCGTGCCCGGAATAATGCGTACCCCTGTCGCCTACGTGTGGCGCCGGCTTCCCGCCGAGCAGAGCGGCCGGCGACGAGCTAGGAAGATTGCCCCTCCCGCCGCCCCCCCCGCCCAACTGCTCGGCGGGGCTGCGGTGCGGCGGGCGGGGGGAAAAGGGGGGGAGAGGAGCCGGCGCCGCGGGGAGGAGGGAGAAGTAGACCTGGTGGCTCCACGAGGAGGGAGGGGGCGGGGGGAGAGAGCGGGGAGGAGGAGGGAGAAGTAGACCTGGTGGCTCCACGAGGAGGGAGGGGGCGGGGGGAGAGAGGCTGCCAGGGTCCAGGCACTTTGCTGGTCATGCACGGAAAGTCCTGGTGGGCAAGGGGCACTCAAAGGTGCGAGGTTAGGGGGTGGGCAGAGAGAAGGGGCTTTTGTTGTGTCCACCTGACAATGATAGCAGGGGGCTATCATTTCATGCCAAAGTAAATGAAGCTTGCCTTCCAGACTTCTTACTCTCATTACTGGCCGCCCTCTAGCAGTGGCCGTGATGGCTAGACCGATGGCCGTGACGGCGGGGTAGACCTGATGGCTCCACGAGGCGGGAGGGGGCGGGGGGGGGAGAGCGGGGAGGAGGAGGGAGAAGTAGACCTGGTGGCTCCACGAGGAGGGAGGGGGCGGGGGGAGAGAGCGGACCCCGGCTGCTTCGGGCCGCCGCTCGCTCTGACGTCAGAGGTTCTTGCTCGGCCGCGAGAGGCTCGCCACCTGTGCCACTCAGTGCGGCTGACTGCCCGGCCGCTTTGCTTTAGCTGCTTTGGAAAATAAATGCTGTTATCTTTGTTTGTTATTAGTTAGTTCCGTTGCCTGTTTTCTGCTGTAGCTTTAGGAATCCTGTCATTCCTTACCGTCTTTCAAAACCTCCCCCACCCCTCCACTCCTCAGCTCCCCCTCCTCCCCCCCCCCCTCCACCCCCCCCCCGCCTCCTCAGGCAAACGGCAGTTGAGCTCAGGTGGCGGCTCCCCAGTCAGCAGGGGTACTGGAATAGACTTGGCTGGGTGGCCGACCCCCACACCCCCACCTGCCAGCTGCGAAGGGACGGTTGGCGGGCTGTGGGGAGGCCGAATGAGGTGACCCAGCGTTCCCGAGTGTGTAAACACATCAACAGAGCAAAAAAGCAAAGCAGAGTAGGAACAGCAAAGCAGAGCAAAGAAAAGGATTCGGTGCCGGGAATACAAACCAAAACCCCCCAAAAATAGGCAGTTCTAAGGAAAGCATGTCGAAGCAGGTGCAGGAAAAGCAAAGCGGGGAAGAGCAACGAAAAGTAAAGCAAGGAAAAGTAAAGCAAAGCAAAACGAACCAAAATCATTGGGAATCGTGTAGTGTCACTTATCGTCCTAAAAAACCTCACCCAACCCCATCCCCAGACGAACAGCAGCAGCGGGACCCACCTGGCGGCTCGCCGAACAGCGGGGGATGAGGAATAGACCATGCTGGGTGGGTGGCCAGGCTTCCTGTCCCCACCCTCCAGCTCCCAGGGGACAGTCGTCGGGCTGCGGGGAGGCCACGGTGTGCGCCTGAGGGTTTATGCCTTCGTCAATACACCGATCGACTCATCGCCCAAATCGGTGCGACGGTCTGCAAAAGAAGCCTACCTAGCACGGCAAAGCAGAGCTGAGCAATGCAACGGAAAGCGGAGCGAGACAAAGCATAGCCCTGCCAGGGAAAAGAAAAAGGCAAAAGGAAAAGCAAAGCCAAGAAGGGCCGGGAAAAGCAAAACGAAGCAGGGCAAGAAAAACCAAAGCAGAAGAGGTCCAGGAAAAGAAAAGTGGTGTCACGAATACAAACTAAAGCAAAACAAAGCAAGGTAGGGCCAGCAAAAGCAAAACAAAGAAGGGCGAGGAAAAAAAAAAAAAAAAAAAAAAAAAACTAAGCTAAGGATTTCCTGGGGGGTGGGGGAAAGAAAAGCGGTGTCCTGAATACAACATAAAGCAAAACAAAGCAAGGCAGGGCCAGCAAAAGCAAAACAAAGAAAGGCGAGAAAAACCAAAGCAAAAGAGGTCCAGGAAAAGAAAAGCGGTGTCTTGAATACAACATAAAGCAAAACAAAGCAAGGTAGGGCCAGCAAAAGCAAAACAAAGAAGGGCGAGAGAAACCAAAGCAAAAGAGGTCCAGGAAAAGAAAAGCGGTGTCTTGAATACAGCATAAAGCAAAACAAAGCAAGGTAGGGCCAGCAAAAGCAAAACAAAGAAGGGCGAGAGAAACCAAAGCAAAAGAGGTCCAGGAAAAGAAAAGCGGTGTCTTGAATACAGCATAAAGCAAAACAAAGCAAGGCAGGGCCAGCAAAAGCAAAACAAAGAAGGGCGAGAGAAACCAAAGCAAAGGAGGTCCAGGGAAAGAAAAACGGTGTCACGAATACAAAGTCAAGCAAAACGAAACAAAGCGAGGCCAGAAAAAGCAAAGCATGGTGAGGAACAGAAAAACCAAAGTAAAAGAGGGCCAGGAAAAGCGAAGCAGTGCCACGAATACAAAGCAAAGCAAAGCAACGCAGGGCCAGGGAAAGCAAAGCAAAGCAAAACGGTGCTGCCAAAACAAAATGCGTAGTTAACTTAGCGTCAGTCGAAATCGCTGGGTTATGGGGAGCTGGGCGTTTGAGAAGGCCAGGGTGGGCAGCGGCCCCCGGTTGCCTCGGGCCGCCTCTCGCTCTGACATCAGAGGCTCCTGCTCGGCCGTGAACGGCTCCCCACCTGTGCCACTCAGTTTGGCTGGCTGCCTGGCTGGTTTGCTTTAGCTGCTTATCATTATATAAATTGTTATTGTTATTATTATTATTATTATTATATACTACTAAAAAGCTATTAGAAATAAAAGTATTAAATAGTAATAGAAATAAGTATCATTAAAACGTAATAAAAATAGTAGTAGTAGTAATAATAATAGTATTTTCTCCGTCTGTTTCCCCCTTTAGTTTTAGGAATCGAGTAGTTATTTATTGTTGTTCTCAACCCACACCCCTCCCCAGACGAATAGCAACAGAGCCCACCTGGTGGCTCTCCGGACAACGGTGGGCAACAAAATAGACCTGGCCCGGTAGCCAGATCCCTGTCCCTGCCCACCAGCTCCGAGGGGACAGCTGTCGGGCTGCAGGCCGGCTAACTTTTCTATGTGTTCATAAACAAGTTTCATGAACTTGTTTATGCATTCATAAAGACAGCAAAGCTAAGGAAAGGAGCACGGGGAAAAACAAAGCGGTGCCAGGAAAGGGAAAGCCAAGGAAAGAAAGCAGTTTGAGTCAAAGCAAAGCACAGCAAGGCTAAGAAAGGTACAGAAGAGCAGAGAAGGTAAAGCAAAGCACTGACAGGAACACGAAGCAAAGAAATAAAAAATAAAGCATGACCGCACAAGTAAAAACGTGGCAGGCCCAGGAAAGAAAAAGCAAAGCAAAGCAAAGCAAAGCAAAGCAAAGCAAAGCAAAGCAAAGCAAAGTAGCACAAGGAAAAACACAGCATTTCCAGGAGAGAAAAAGCAAAGCAATCTGAGGTAAGAACAGCAGAGAAAAGGAGGTATGGAAAAGCAAAACTGTGCCAGGAAGAGCAAAGCAAAGCGGAGCAAGACAATACAAAGAGAAGCAAAGCGAACGTAGCGAGCTGGCGGACAGCACTCCTTTGGGTTCCAAGTGTCTGTAGGGGGGAGACCGGAGGGCTCCATTTTGTGTACAGGTGGCAGCCAGACTTGGACAGTGGCTGTACCCTGATCGCCCTCTCCCCAGCCTCCTTCAGAGCTCCTAGTCCACCGTGATGTTTTATATATCTCTATCTGTTTTGTTGTTGTTGTTGTTGTTGTTGTTGTTGTTGTGGATTTCTTCCACCGTAGTTGTGGGAATCATGTAGTTACTTATTGTTGTTGAGAACCTCAGACACACAACTAGCAGTGGGGCCCACCTGGCAGCTCGCCGCATGGCTGGGGACACAGAATGGACCATGTCGGCTGGCCGGGCCTGCTGCCCACACGCGCCAGTTCCGAGGGGACGGTCGCTGGGCTGCGGGGAGGCCAAGTTCTGTTTCCGATGGTTTATGTGTTCATAAATTTACCAATCGACTCAGCAGCAAAATCAGCGAGACAGTCTCCAAAGGAAGCCTAGCACAGCACAGGAGAGGAAGGCAATGCGGATGAAAGCTGAGCAAGACAAAGCAAAGCCCTGCTAGGGAAAAGACCTAGCGGCATAGGGAAAAGCAATGACAAGGACGGCCTGGAAAAGAAATGCACGGCCTCTAAAAACACGTTAAAAAGGTCCAAAAGGAAAACAAAAGAATGCAATGAACAATTAAAAAAAAAAAAAAAAAAAAGCAAAACAAGGCCAGAAAAGGCAAAACATAGCAAGGCAAAGCGGAGCAAAGGGAAGCTAAACAAAGGAAAAGGAAAAAACGGCCTGATAAAGCAAACGAAAGCAAGGCCAGGGAAGGCAAAGCAGAGCTAAGGAAAGTAGCACCAGGTAAAGCAAAGCAGTGCCAGGAAAGAGAAAGAAGTGAAAATAAATAAAAAAAAAAAGAAAAAATGAACAAACAAACAAACAAACAAAAAAACACCTTTAAAATAAACACAACAAAGCGAAAAAGTTGGAGGTAAGGCAAATCAGAGCAGGGTTAAGAGAAGCTAAGCAGAGCAGAGAAGGAAAAGCAAAGCAATGCCAGGAATACAAAGCAAGGCAAAGCAAAGCATGGCCAGGCAAGGCAAAGCAGAACAAAAGAAAGTAGCAAAAGGAACAGCAAAGCAGTGCCAGGAACACAAAGTAAAGCAAAACAAAGGCAAGCATGGCCTGAAAATGGAAAGGAGAGCAGGAGCAGGTGAGGCAAAAGAGAGCAAGGCAAAGGTAAAAAAAGGAAAGCATGGCCCCATAAAGCAAAACAAAGCACGGCCAGGGAAGGCAAAGCTGAGCAAAGGAAAGTAGCACCAGGAAAAGCAAAGCATAACCAGGGAAGACAAAGCAAACAAAGCAAAGCAAAGCAGTTTGAGGCAAGGCAAAGCACAGCAGGGGTAGGAAAAGCAAAGCAGTGCCAGGTCTATAACCCAAAGCTAAACCAAGGAAAGCACGGCCAGGGAAGGCAAAGCCGAGCAAGTCAAAGCAGAGCAAGGGAACGTAGCACAAGGAAAAGCAAAGCATTTTCAGGAAAGAAACAGCAAAACAATCTGAGGCAAAGCAAAGCAAAGCTGGGGCAAGAACAGCAGAGGAAAGGAGGGATGGGAAAGCAAAACTGTGCCAGGAAGAGCAAAGCAAAGCGGAGCAAGGCAAAACAAAGAGAAGCAAAGCGAACGTAGCGAGCTGGCGGCCAGCCCTCCTTTGGGTTCCAAGTGTCTGTGGGGGGCAGACCGGAGGGCCCTCATGTTGTGTGCAGGTGGCAGCCAGACTTGGACAGTGGCTGTACCCTGATCGCCCTCTCCCCAGCCTCCTTCACAGCTCCTGGTGCACCGTGACGGTGGGCAAGAACCATGTCTTGCCTTAGCTGGTTTTATATATCTCTATCTATTTTGTTGTTGTTGTTGTTGTTGTGGATTTCTTCCACCGTAGTTGTGGGAATCATGTAGTTACTTACTGTCGTTGAGAACCTCAGACACACAACGAGCAGTGGGGCCCACCTGGCAGCTCGCCGCATGGCTGGGGACAAAGAATGGGCCATGTCGGCTGGCCAGGCCTGCTGCCCACACGCGCCAGTTCTGAGGGGACAGTGGCTGGGCTGCGGGGAGGCCAAGTTCTGTTTCTGACGGTTTATGCGTTCATAAATTTACCAATCGACTCGGCAGCAAAATCAGCGAGACAGTCCCCAAAGGAAGCCTAGCACAGCACAGGAGAGCAGAGCAATGCGGATGAAAGCTGAGCAAGACAAAGCAGAGCCCTGCTAGGGAAACGACGGCGGTGTTGGTTCCCGGCCGGCGGGTCTCCCCGTGTCCTCCTGAGGTTGCCAGGTCTACCCGCGCGAAGGAGTTTGCCGACGATCGGGCAGAGGGAACGGCGGCCAGGTCTACCGCGTCTCCGACGGGACAGGCCCGGCGTGGGGCTGGAGGTAGACTAGCAGCTCGTGCCACGGCTCGGAAGGTGTGGTAGGCGTCGCTGTTTCTCTGTGCCTCCAGTTAGGTCGAGGTAAAAGTCGGTTGCGCTCGGGTGCCTCGCCGCGGTAGCCTGGAAAAGGACGTGCGTCGTTTCTGAGGCAAGGACTTTTCTGTCCGTCTATAGGAGAGAGTGAGGACTCTGCTCCGCCAGCGGTGCCGAGCGAGCGCTTGGGGCTTGGAGAGCCGGCGCGCGAGCGAGAAGGGGGCGCGCGGCGTCGGTGGTGGCGTCGGCTCGGGCGTGGGTTGTGTGGAGCGGTAGCCGCCAGCTGTTTGCCGACCCAGCTACCCCGCCGGCGAGCGAGAAGCGGTCTCGCGCGTGCGAGTCGCCGGAGAAACAGCAACGAGCCGCGAGCTCAGAGCTGTGGAGAGAGAGAGAGCGGCCAGAAGCCGGCGGGCGGTCCGCCGGCGCCCAAACGCGTCTGTCCGGGGGCGTCCCCGGCTGCTTGTGTGGGTCCCGGAGGCTCGGAAAGCGAAAGAGGGGGGACCCCGCGGATTGTCACGGCCGAGGCGGCGGCGCCTCCGGCTCCCGATGATGCACCTCATGTCACCCGCACGCAGGCGCCCGTCGAGGCGTTCCTCGGGCACGTCGGAGAGGCTTCCCGGCGGGTCGGTTCCTGTCAGGGCCGATGTTCAGGTCGGCGCGAGCATCTCTCGCGGACGTTGCTCCAGCACACCCGCAGGCGACGCTGTTCGCTGCTCTTTTTTTTTTCCTTCCGATCGATGAGGCCACTCGGGTCGCGTCGGACAGGGCCCCCGGCGGGCCGGCTCTTCCGCGCTCCCCTGTCCCGGGGGAGCCGCGGCGGTGTCCGGTGTTCAGGCACGGGCGGTCTCCTGTCCAGCTCGCTTCCCGTCGCAGGTGAGGCGCTGCCTCGCTCGGGGCGAGAGCGGCGGCGGCGGTTAGGGCGCGTGCCCTGGTCTGCGCTCCGGCCGTTGTTCTCGTCGCCGAACGAAGGGGCTTTTCCGGCCGAAGCCGGCTGTGTGACGGCCGAGCGGCCCCGCGAGCCGCAGGGGTCCGTGAGCGTTGCGCGAGGCGCTGGTGCCGGCCTCGGTCCGGGGCGCGGCGGGTGCCGGCCGCGAGCAGCAAGGCGGCGGGGGTGGCCGCAAACGATGTGCCAAAAGGAGCGAGGGCGAGTGAGTGAGCGAGAGAGAGCCGCGCGGCGCGTCCCGCCTCCGG